AGTTCTACACCATTCTCTTACATACATGGCCCTCGACCTTTTTAGGTTGTTCTTGAGTTATCTTTGAAGCTTTTCCTTCTAACTTTTTCTAGAATGTGGTGGAGTCTTCTAGAGTCCCTTGGATTGCTCTCTATATCTAGTCTTTTGTAGAATCTTCCTTTCCCATGGTTTGCTTGCCAGTTATTCTTGAAGATGGGGGAGTGTGACATAAAACTAACTTACAAGTTTACTGACGTGAACTACAACTATTGGAGGCATGCAATTCCAATAGCTATAATTGCATTCAAAGCCAATTTCTTTTAAGTATATTGTTATGTTTTTTTTTTGTTTATTTCAAAGTGGCAAGCATTACACATGAATTTTTTAGTAAAAAATTCTATTCTCATTTTCAGTTGTAAATTTATGTCTCATTCATCTTTTGTATTTAATAAATCATTTTAAATTTATCCATTTAGTTTATTTAGTATTAATTTTGACAACTTTCTAACATCCTCGTCATAGTAGGGGTGCGATAAGCTTTCTCATCATGCTTGAAAAAAGTGCATGGCTGGTGATTAGGTTAGCATGGCTTGGGATTTTCAAGCATAACATGCTGTAAAAATTGTATATAGGCCTTTGCCACTAGCATTAAAAAATATATAACAATTTTTTTTGGTCTCATAGGGGCTTGAGCCCATGTAAAATTTGTTGTTATATCTTAAAATTCTCACAAAATGAGGGTGCATTCTTTGTTAGTATTTTATTTACAATCCAATGTGTATTTTGAAAATTTATTCTAAAACCATAACTCTTAAAAGAGTCAAGTGCGAATTTCTGAAGCCCGTAATCTTAATTTTTGCTATGCTCCAATCTTAAAGTTAAAAAATGATGGTTTGATTGAATTGTGACTGGAGTACTAAGTTTATTAATTGCTTGAATTCTATTGATGCATTGCATTTTTCAAATGATATCACCTATGTTATATTTGTGACTGGAGCAACATAGTTCTTATTGATACAAAGAGGGCATTTAAACCCTCACAATGGACTCAATTAAGGAAAGAAATAAAAACAGAATCAAAGAAATAAAATCAGAATAACTATAAAAAGGAACACATAATGCAAAATAAGGGTAATTAATAAATAGGAGGGCTATAAAAAGCCAATAAATCTAATAAACCTAATACTCCCCTTAATTTGAACCGTAGACGTCAATCATGTTCAAATTGAATTTGAAGTCATCGAACAAAGGATGATGAAAATTCTCGGTGAGGATAGCTGCTAGTTGACCATTTAAGGGCATAAAAGGAACACAAATTTCCCAGGACCATCTTTTTCTTAATGAAATGTCTGTCAATCTTCACATGTTTGGTACGATCATGTTGGACTGGATTGTGAGCAATACTGATGGCGGTCTTATTATCATAGAATAGCTGCAGTGGGACGGAGGGTGACATACGAAGTTCATGGAACATGATGTGTAACCAAAGGGCTTCATAGATCCCCAAAGACATTGATCGGAATTCAGCTTCCGCACTACTCTGGTTAAGCAAGAAGAGTACATTTTATGAATCTGGGATCAAATTTACTCCGATTTGGGACAGTGTTCCGAAAATGGGAGTGCACTAAAAAATCTTGGGGTCTAATGTAGAGAAGATATGATTGGTAGGGAAGCAAGACATTAAGATCGCTGAGGGGGTTCAGAACTTGTGAATTTTAGAGGGGACTCTATTTATGGGATAAATGACAGTGAGAATGACATCGTTCCAAAAACGTTTCGGGTCATTGAATTGAAACATAATGGAGCACGCAACTTCGAGGAAGTGATGGTTTTTTCTCTTGAATGTCCCAGTTTGTTGAGGAGTGTCCGTACGATCTATGGTGGAGGATGTCTTTGCTCGCCAAGAATTCTCCTAAAATAGAGTTGAAGAACTCACAACTATTGTTGATCCGAAGGATCTGTATAGGAGTTTTGAATTGAGTTAAAAAATTGTAGAAGTTTTGGAAGGTGAAAACAACCTCCGGTTTATTTTTTTAAATGTTGACTCACATCATTCGAGTGTGGTCATCAATCAAGGTTAGGAACCACCGTTTATTTGTGTAGCTAAGAGTGCGAGATGGTCCCCATAAGTCACTGTGAATGAGAGAGAAATGAGTGAAAGGTGTGTAAGTGTGGGTGGATTATGAACCCGATAATATTTGACTAACTGACATGTCTCACAATTAAAATTAGAAGAATTTTTATTAGAAAATATTGAAGGATACAACTTTTTTAAATATTGGAAATTTGGTTGACCTAAACGACAATGTAACAACATAATGAGATCTTCAATGATTCAAGATAAGCGACAACTTCTGAGAGGTGTGTCCTCACTCTCTGTACTCTTCTCTTGGAAGTAGTAGAGTCTAACTACTCTCTAAACAGTTCTAATCATTCTCCCTAAACGATGATTCTGAAAAAGACAATCATCAAAAGAGAAATTAGCCAAGTAATCAATATAATTTGTCAACTTGCTAATTGATAACAAGTCACATTATAACTGAGGAACATGTAAAGTAGACTTCAGAGTTAGATTGGTTGTTAGTACAATGGACTATTTACCAGCAATAGAGCTACATGGACCATCGACAATTCTGACTGTATCTTTTCTGAATCACAGATAGTAAGTTGAGAAAGTTTGCGAGCATCCAGTCATGTGATATGTGACACCTGAATCAATAATCAACGTACTAGAGGAGGAATAAGCTGTGAGAGCCATAAGAAGAGTACCTTGTTGGACGTGGGAGGTCGACAAACCCAAAAAGGCTTGATTGGCTCTAAGTAGCTTGATCAATTGCTCCATCTCATTTTTCAAGGATTCTGAGGATTCCAGAATGCTCCGGGTAGGAGTCGGTTGAGCCGAGGTAGGCTCGGCCGTTGTCTTGAGACCCTTAGAAGCAGAGAATTTGGCCGAAGGTTTATATGTTGGCTTATCGTGAAGTTTCCAACTCTTGTCCCAAGTGTAGTTGGGTTTGTGACAGTAATCACAAGTGGGGTGACTGGTCCGAGGTGGCATGGACGTGGGCTTAGCACTATTGAGATCAAGGCAGACGATTCGTCTGAAAGAGTAGAAGTGTCGAGCATGACAAAGTCTCCTGCTTTCTTCTAAATGAATTTCGGTGAAAGCAGCGCAAGAAGAAGGAAGAGGATCCAGACCAAGAATACGGCCCCAGACTTCGTCTAGGTCTTTGTTAAGGCCAGACAAGAATTGGAACATACGATACTTTTCTGCAATCTTCTGGAAGAGGGATTGTTTGACCAGAGATTCCTAAGTGTAGTCGTAGTACAGGTAGCATTTCATCCATAGTGCAACAAGTTCATTATAGTTCTGGGTCGTTGTTTTTGACTCGTGTTTTGTTTCCCAAATTTTCTTAGATATCTCATATAGTTGGCTGAAATTTCTTACATCCGAGTAGTTATCATGGACAACCTTTCAAAGGGCATTAGTTGAAAGGAGGAACATGTAATGAACGACCAATCGACGGTTCCATGGAGTTGATCAGCCACGACATGACCATGGAGTTATCCATTTCCTAAGCTCCATATGGCGAGTCAGTTTTTTGGAGTTTCACGGATCATGCTTGTGTGGTGACTGAATTTTTTGCGTCCTTTGATGAATAAGGACACCTCCTGGTACCATTGGAGAAAGTTGATGTCGTTTAGTTTGTGAATTGTGATTAAAAAATTCATGTTGGTTTCTGGTCCTCCGGTTTGTACGGGAACAGAGGTAGGAGTTGAATATCTGGTGGAATCAAGAACATTTTCTGAGGATGGCTCAGTGCTGAAGTCCGCTATGATTCCGATTGAGCCAAAATAAATTTTGTTGGGATTTCGTGGCGTTGCCGGAATTTAGCTGTAGGTCATCGGTCATCAGATACATAAAACAGGTAATCTGGACAACTGCAGAAGATACCGGCTGCCAGAGAAAAAAACAGCAGTGAGGACTTGCAGGGACGGCTTCCGGGAGAATCTGCACCTGCATGGAGGAGGCTGGAGGTTGCCAAGGAGGCTGGCGGTTGTAGGGGACAACAGAGGAGGGCTGGCGGTTGTAGGGGACAACAGAGGAGGGCTGGCGGCTGCAGGTTTCCGCTGGAATTGAAGACTAACAGTTCTTGCGGGAGACCTGCAGGGACGGCTGATGGTGGTTAGGATCTTGATTTAGATCCCAGCTTTGATATCATGTTGAAATATTGGAGTAGAGCAACATGTTTTGTTGATAGAAAGAGGGGTTATATAAACCCTATTACAAGGGGCGCTCATAAAGAACGAAAAAAAACAGAATAAAGGGAAATAGGAAAGAAATAAAAACATAATAAAGGCAAATAAGAAAGCAAATAATTACAAATAAAAGAAAATTTGCATATTAATGACGGCTATGGATAGCCCTCATTATCTTAACATTCTGATACTATTGATTGTTGAAATGTCGTGATATAATTTACTATCATTTGAAACTTTTTGGTGATGCTCCAACTACTAATTTTACCGGATACTACACCAATACAACTTTAATTAAGACGCCAATTCTATTTTCATGCATTCAGATTAAATGTCTTTTGAAGATAAATAGGTCCAATATGAATATCTTTCATTGCTTCGAGTAAATTTTCATTAAATGCCTTAAAACATTGTTCATAAACATTTTTTTATTATGATTATTTGTCGAGTATTAATTTAAAAGCCAAATCACTTGTCATTTTTTTGGAATAAATGTCTTTTCAAGATAAATAAAAATAAAATAAATATATTTTCATTGCTTAGAGTTAATTTTCAATAACTTCCATATAAAATTGCCCATAGACATTTTCTTGTCATGATTATTTTTGGAGTAAAAAATCATTATTATAGTATTTCATTTTGAGTTGATATAAGCTGTACCTTCTCAATTGCATTTGAAGTACTTAAACAACAATTGATTGCTATGGTTTTTCTTGATAGATTTTGCATTAATATATATGTAACAATACTATCATTTGCTTTAGGAATGGGCCCGCCAGCAATTCGTTGCAAAACACCAACAGTGGGCATCCCAACAATGGGGAAACTTTTACTATTACAGGATGAATACCGTAAGGTTTGCTTCTTGAGTTTCTCATGTGGAATTTTCCTTTAATGCAGTAAAACAGTAAAGTAGCTGTGAATGATACATCTTCTACCTCTATTGCTTTGGTGCATGTGCGTCATCTGCTACCTCTATTGCTTTGAAAAATTTAGCCTGGTTTTTGACCAAATTCCTATGAATGACCTTTTTATCTTCTTTCATATTTGTCCGGATGCTTAGATGTTGGAAAAGAGAGGGTGAATATTATTTAATTTTAAAAAGAGGCCTGAGCCAAAATAGTTGTACGACTACGTTTTTTTGGTTGGGGATTGGGGTGGAACAAAATTGTCCCACCAGTTAATATAACTGAAATTAAAGTTAAAGACTTAAGGTTAATGAATGGTATTTAAATTGAGAGTATCTTAGGAATTTACGTCTTCTTGAAATGCTTACAAAATCTAATATGAGGATAAAATGGTATTTTATATATTGTATTTTAATAAAAAATTCTTCTTTTATGTCATATATAGCTAGTCTCTTTTCAAATGCTTGGTTTACTTCTTCAAAAGCTTTAAGAAGTAGACGTTTATTTTATATAGTAAAACCAAATAAATACATCCTTTAAAATCATTATTTAATATACTTCTATAATTCCAGTTTTTTTTAAACAAATTAGAGTTTTGTTAACTAGATATGATAAGAGTACAAAAGGGCATTTGACAGAGTGCCTGAGTAAAAAAGAGAAATACAAGCGGATAATATAATGATCATTTGGATCATCTAGACTGGAATGTAGTTAACATTGGAGAGTGGCCGTAAATATTCTTCTTCCGATTTTTATCCTTTTCAATTTTAAGAATATTAAATATTTTATTTGTCAGGAGTCACTTTGAATGCTCTTATCAGAATCAAAATCCTGTTGTAATAAATGATCTTCGTTTTATTCACAAATTGGATGAAGTTGTGGAATTTCAACGATGTCATTCAAGCTAATTGTTTAAATGAATTAAGGGAGGTCTGAAATGTCAATTCAAATGCTTGTTTAGAAAAATGCTTTTTCAACGGTTGCAATTGACATATATTTAAGTCCATGCATTTAGCCCCTTGTTAGTGAGGAAGGCCTTTTCCAGTTGACAATATTCGCTATTTGGACTATTGGTGATGACAGATTGGGTGTTTAGAGAAATACTGAAAGGATTTTGATCCATGAGATTAGACAATAAAAGCTGAATGAAGTTTCAGCGTAGACCCTTTTCTGAAGTTTTAAAATGATCTGATTAAATTACTGTGAAAGCATGCTATAAGAATAAATGTATAATGATGATTATCAAGCAAAATATACCCTATTAATTGATAGGAAATCACACAATGAATAATTCTCAACTTTATCGGGGCTTAGAATCAATTAGAAACTAAACCAAATCGCGAAATAACGGGTTTACACCAATTCGATAAAAAATCGGAACAGAAGCACAATAAAAAAAAAACAAATGATAATTTAATGAAAAAACCTGAGAACGGGAAAAAACAACCATGGAGCCACACCATCAGAAATTCCCACTATGAAATTCAGAAGGTTTTACAAAGAACTCATACAAGTTTTCTCTTCACACAAAAGTAAAACTTACAGAACTCACTCCACAATCTTCTATTTTCGATCCGACGTAAAAAATCACAGCAAATCACATAATCCACTTCTTTGACACTCCTCACATTCACAGGGATGCTCGTCAAAGAATATTGAAGGAAGAAATAGCAAATCATCAGCTTTTGTGCTTGAATTTGGGATAAAAACCAAATCCCACTCGCAAACCGCCTTTGGCGCATAGACGCCAAACTTGGCGCTAAGAACCAAACTCTCGGGAAGCTGCACCTAAATTGGGCGCATAGGCGCCAACATAACTGTGTATGTGCCTATATGGGCGCATATGCCCTCTATGCGCCGACTGCTCTATAGCACGCCCAATTTTGGGCGCATCTGCGCCTGGTGTGTTGTTTGCTGTGTCGGCTCCACACAACCCAACAGTCTCCTCTCCCATTTGGAGACGATTGCACCGTGCACCAGTTCTATGTACTTGCACCTCCATCTGAACCACCTTTATAGTCACGTGCTGTGGTCACGTACCATAGATGAAACCCAACTGAAGGCAAGCATAGCTTTAGTTTCTCAATAGTTACCACATTTGTTAACATATCCGCAGGATTTTTAGCTGTATATCTTTTCCAAAAATAAATGGACATCTTCTACAAGAGATCAAATGAATGATACCTCAGCTGGATGTGTTTCGTCTTGACATGAAAAACAACATTTTTAGCAAGATGGGTCACACTCATACTATCATTGTAGAATTTCCAATTCCCTGCTCCTTGCTTGATTTCACCATGAAATTCTATAACTATATCTCCTCCTTGCTAGCATTAATGATAACAACATATCAGGCCTCCATAGTTGAAAATGCAACAATCTCTGCCACCTGGAAACTCAACTGATCTTTGCACTTCCATGGCAATGTGAAGATATATCTCGTTGTACTTCTTCTACTATTCACATCTCCTGCCAGATTTGAATCTAAAAAAACCTGTAAAACTGATCACTGTACTTCCATAGCAAAGTGCCCGTGCCCTGTTTGACTGTTCCCCCAAATATTTGAGAATTCACTTTACCGTCTCCCAATGATGTCTGTCTGGAGTCCCCATGTACCTGCATATAAGATGTTTGGTCTGATACAAATCATCACATACATCAAACTTCCAACTGCCGAAAGATATGAAGTTCTCTCAATCTGTGCTTGCTCTGCTTCAGAGTTAGGCGATGACTTCTTAGATAGTTTGAAATGACTACCTAAGGGAGTGCTAATTAGTTTCACCTCACTCATGTTGAGCCTCTGTAAGATCTTCTCTACATACTCTTCCCGAAACAACTTTAGTGTTCATGCACTCATCTTCCGGTTGATTCTTATCCCGATGATCTTCTTGGTTAGACCTAAATCCTTTTATCTTAAACTCATTTGATAACTGGTTCTCACGTCATCCACATACAAAAGAAGAAAAATATAACAGTTAACCCAAACGTTTAATGAAGCAACGGTGGTCTGTCTGACACTTCATATACCCATTATCTGAAATGAACTTGTGAAACCACCAGTATCACTGTCTTGGGGTCTGCTTCAAGCTATAGAGACTATTCTTCAATCTGTAGACCAAACCTTCTTTGCCTGAAACCTTGTAACCTCATATTTGCACCATATATAGCTCTTTCTCCAAATCTCCATGTAAGAAAGCTATTTTTACATCTTCTGCTCTAGATGTAGATCCTTCACTGCTACCAGACTCAACACAACCTTTATAGTGGTCATCTTCATCATTTGAGATAAGATCTCTGTATAATCTACTCATTTCTTTTGTTGAAAACCCTTCACAACAAGTCTTTTCTTGTTTTTTCTTGTAGCGCTTGCTACTGTCTGACTCTTTTTTCAGCTTGTAAACCCACTTATTGTGCATTGCTCTTTTGCGATTTGTTTGTACTATCAAATCTCAAGTTCGATTTAACTCTAATGATTGCATTTCGTCATCTATGGCAAGCTCCCACTCTCTTGAATCTTCAACTTGAGTGGCCACCTCAAAGCACTTGGGTTCACCACTATTAGTTAGCAACAAATAGTGTAAAGAAGGAGAATACCTTTGTATGAGTTATTTTTCTCAGTTGGATCTTTTGATTTTTGCAGTAGGTGGCTGAGGAACTTTCAGTGCTCCTTCTGATTGAGCACTACTTCCTCCATTTTTTTGATCACCAATATTATCTATCTCCACATATTTGCATTTTTCAGAAGTAGCTAACGGATTATCCTGAGTTCTAATCCTGTTTTTGTTTATCTCCATTTTGTTGAAAGTGATGTCCCTGCTACTGATGAATTTTTTATTCTGATAATCCCAGAACTTGTAACCAAACTCATCTGTGTCATATCCAATGAAGGCGCACTTGACAGATTTCGAGTCAAGTTTGCTCCTGGACCCTGCATCAATATATACATATATGCAGAACACTCAAATACTCTTAAATGAAATAGACATATTTTTTTGTCTCTCCAGACTTCTTCAAGTAAACCTTCCTCCAAGGATACTGATGGACTACAATTAGTCAGATAAACTACAGTGTTAACCGCTTCCTCCCAGAATTGTTTTGGCAAGCCAGCTTGCAGCCTCATGCTCCTGCACGCTCCGTGATTGTTCTGTTCATACACTCGACCACACAATTTTGTTGTGTTATTCTTGCAACAACAAACTTATGTCTGACCCCTTCTGTAGCACAGAAATTCCTGAACTGCTTATCACGGTACTTGCTTTCATTATTGGATCTGAGACACTTTAGATTCAAAATTGTCTCATTTTCTACCATAGCCTTCTACTTAAAGCCTTCAAATACTTCAGGTTTTTTACATAATAAATAAAGTTATATCTTTCTCGCATGACCATCAATGAACGTGACAAAACAATGAAAACCTCCAATAGAGTGAACTGGAGTAGGACCCCATACATCATTATGTACTAACTTTAGTTTCTTTGATTTCACGTGACCCGCTTTTGGAAACGAAACTTTCTTTTGCTTGCCATTTATAAAGTTTTCACAGAAATCTAGATCAAATGATTCACATTCCACAAATTTCATGTGAAAGTTGTCACGAGTCATGACTTTGTTAGCTAACTTACAGAGATGAGATTTCTTTTTAAACTTGGAACATATTTGACTTTAGTAAATTTCCAGACCGTTTCATTCGACAATTTGATATCAAAATCACATTTTTTCACTATATCACATGCCTTGTTATCTCTCAAATAAACTTTCCTAAATCACTCAAAGTGTAATTTTTAAATAGGCAAACATGAAAATAGACACTTGAATCCACTATCCAGGATTCAATACTGACTAGTCATAACACTACGGAGTCAATTTTGCATGTCACCAGTGGAGACATTAGTAGAAAAACTATTTTCATATCATCTACCACCAATTTTTCTTGGAGCTTTATAGTGCT